TTTCTAAAGTCTGCAAATTTTAACTGTCCAAAGGTTCAAACATCAAAAGACAAATCCCAGAATCCACTATGTTATATTCTTCTTATATGTTATATTCTTCCACTATGTTATATTCTTCTTATATTCTTCTTATAACCTCATATTTTCAAAGTCAAAAAGATTTTGTAGCCTGGATCTGGTGCTGTTGAAGCATTTCACAACAAAAGAGACACCTGTATGCTTTTTCCCCCAAATATCCAAAAATAGAAAAATAACGGAAAACTATTTTCAGACAAAATTCAGCTGATGATGTAGATTTTGGATTCTGGAATACACTTAAATGGAGGATGAAGCCAAATTAAAAAAAAATCAAATTGAAAATTACAGAGCTGCTGTATTTAAAAGGCAGATTCCTTACAAATCACATATTTTTGTTAAACCTCCACCACCAGGAATAAAAGTTTTCACTGAACTACTACTGAACTAATTCCAGTAATGAGACACAGACTAAGACTCAGTTTGCTCACAATCAAATTAAGGTCTCTGAGTGAAGAGTGCTCCCTCAGAACGGGAATTCCTGTATCAGGACATAAATGCTGAGTCAGATACAGCCAAAACAGGATGGATAACACACAAATCCATACACAGCCCTTCAAACAACACCACTTGGGCTGTAACAGCTCCGGAAGCAGATCCTGAAAGCCCTCAGTCAGCTCCAGATGTTTGCTCAGTTCATCTCCAGCAGGAGAGTGACACCTCCCAAGTGACCCATCCTGCTAAATTCTTTCCCTTGCTTTTCTAGAGCAACATCCTCCAAAGTACCTATTTAGCCCAGCTGGATGGGGTAAAACATGATGTTGATAAGACACAGATAAAAATAAACTTGAATTTTAAGATCAAAGCTTTTGTTTGACAGTTAACCTGCTAGTTTCCTTTTTTAGCTGTTACAAATAACTGGAGCTGGTTTCCTTTTTTTATTTGAAGCAGAAGGCAATGAGCAAAAGATTATTTCAGTTCTTGCTAGAGGGAATCCTTTAAGGTTTGCCATTTTTATCTCCTGGTCTCTTATCAGAGATGGAAACTCATTCTATTTGGAGGGCTTCCTATTCCAGGGACTAAGCTAAACTACTGGCTTACAACTGCCTTTGCCCACCACTGTTTGGGTTTATTCAGGTTTATACCAGGAGAGAAACAAGATCCTACAACATTTTTCATCTTCAGAAGTATCTTTGTTGGTTTTGGAGATAACCTGAAAGAAATGCTAATGAACAACAGTTTTACAACCCCCTCTCCTTTCCAACAAGCCTCCCGGAGAGGTTTTCCCAGTAAACTGTCACTCCAGGGCACGTAAGTAGTGAGCTCATCTTCCCCTAAGTGGGTCATGGGATGCTTAAGCACGGGAGGGTTTCAAAGCAGTATTAAACTTTTAGAGACAGCGAATTTTCTCCTGGTGTGCAGCCTGAGAGCAGCTGGGGGCTTTGAACTGAAAGGCTCCCAGCTGGAACTTTGGCAGGAAGGGGTGCAGTGATTAATTCCCATGCACAGCAGCTCAGAGCTGCAAACAGAGGAGGCCCCGGTGCTCCTTGGAGACAACCCCGGCACTGTGAGGCAATGTTTTTATTTACAACCTCCTCGAAGATAATATTAGGAACACATGCAGAAGCCCTGCTTAACCCTGACTCTTGCTACAGTTGGCCCACATCAGATGGAACCAAGGACTGACAGGAGCACCCCCCCTTCACATCCCATTTGCATTCCCTTTGATGGCAGTGGTGCAGGGCTCCTACTGGGAACGGGGAAAGAAGCTTCAAGTCCAATAGTTTCTTTCAATTTTATGTAAATACTTAACTTCTGTATGACTTTCCCCGACAAAGCTGTCCAATATCCAATTATCCTTCCTGCACTGATAACAAATTCCCTCCCAGCCTTTCTTTGGGCAAGAACTCAGCAGTGTCTGTTTAACCACCACCCAGCCACCTCCACTGTCCACCCAAAACGAACCTGGAAAGACTCCAGGGATTATTCTCCAGCAACTACAGGACCTCAGCTTGAAAACAGTGTTATACAGGTGGGATAGGACTGGGTCAAGCCCTTCAGAACGGCAGAAATCAGTTTGATCTGAGCTGGGGCAGTTCAGAGGAGCCACACTCCAGTTTCTCTTTCCAGTCAAGGAAAGGCAGCACTACCAAGGATGACCCAAATCTCAGGTGAGCTGAGTTACCTTCTCCAAGTATTTATCTTTCCCCAGAGACTGTGAAGGAAGATAAGGGCGAGCAGCCACTTTATTTAGGTGCCTTTATTAAGAACCTAAAATTAGGCAAGATTAATCTGGGCCACCTCCCTTTGCCAGTCACTGAGAGGGCAAAGGCACTGAAATAGGTTTTCTACACGTCACTCACGGCCAAGGACCTCAGGAAGTACCACCCCAAGACTAATTATTTTATATTTCCTTGTGACAGTCACTGTTTCTGTCCACCTTTGCTGTGTGACACTGTTTCCTTTGCTGCCTTCACTGCCAGGCAGTTTTTCAGGGCCATGCCAGCAGCATAAGCAGCTTCTCCCAATAAGCTGCTTGTTGTTAACGTGCAAAATATATTTCACTTTCTGCTGGGGGATTTTCCTCTGGCAATTGGTTTTCTCCATCTGTGCTTATTTTTCAACTAGCGAATAAAGGATGTTTTTTTCACTTCTGACTGGGATTACAAGGTAAACTGACCCATACACAGTTCACATTGGTGAGTTCTACTGCTATTTCCCCCTTAAACTTAGCATTTACATGGCCAATATTTTACATCCACTATTACACTCTGAAGTTATTACTTTATAAGCAAAAAAATAAGTATTTTAAGTAGTGCTGTATCTTAAATCACACTGATATTTAAAAAGTGTATAAATATACGACTAAAAGTCAAGCCCCTTTTGTGCTTCCTCAACAATTTCAATTAAAAATGACCAAAACATTATTTTTGCCATTTTTAACTTGGAACTCTGATTTACCCTGGCCTGTTCTAGTCTTGCTGTGGATTTTTGGTGATTTTTGGGACACTGACTGGCTTAATTAGCCTCCATATTAGGCCTCATGTTGGCATCACATGAATATACTTTTTTCATCTGCTACTGCCCAAAGTACTCCCTGCACACCCTTTTGGCTCTGAGATAGAAAGTGTATCTGTGTTCAGGCTTATAAAGGTACAAAAATATAAAATTCTGTTTACCTGAGTAAACATGGAATTAGAAATCTAAGTTTAGTTCAGTGTTTGGTCTCTTGGCAGTGGGACAAAGCTCTCAGTCTTACATTGGTGGAGATGGATAAAAATTTTCTAGTTTGGTTCAGAAAACAGTTTTGGGAGCAAAGGAAAAATATTTGCAGGTTTCCAGTAGAATTCAAATGAGAGTTTTGAGCAAAACCAGATTTTTTTTCTCAATCCCAACTCATTCATCCTTTAAGCTGCCAGTGCATTTTTTTACTGATTTCAAAATTAAATACTGGCTTTTTTTTTTATGTGAAATAACATTTTTATTTTAAAAGGGGCAGTTACAAATGAACAAAAGTGAAATGGAACTCACAATTAAAGAACAATAATTTACAAGTGGTATCTGCACAGCTGATCCAAAGTGATTCTATGTTTTTTTTTCAGTTTTGACTGATATCAAGCAAAATGCCCATTCTTACTCATTTCAGTCACAGAACAAAAGCTGTTTTCTTGCCTCTGTATCACACACAACACAGGTAGGGTGCATTTAGGAGTAGTAAATTCTTCCATAAGAAGTATTTGGACCTAGTCAAACAATTCAGATATAGTCTAACTTCATATGCAGAGGAGATGAGAATGTTTTTAGGTGACTACATAAAAAGTGAAATTAGTAGAAACAGTGTTAATTTAACAAAACCAAACAGGTTGTGAACATTTCTCTTCCGTAAAATATTCCAGTGGGACAGTAATTCTCAGCTTTTAAAAGAACTCCTGTGAATAGCTGTCCTTCTTTTGGTCTGATTGCTGAGATAAACAGAAGTTTGATGCAAAAAAAGGCTTTTTTTTTTTTTTTGCCTGGAGATATTATCAGCTCTTTGCTTAATTTTCAGCCCTGGTGTCTGGAATCAGCAGGACCCTCATTCCCAGGCAGCAGCAGGACAGGCACCCTCAGCTGGCTTTGGAATCACAAACCCCCAAGAGATCTCACCCTACATTAACATCCTTCTCTGCATCCTCACAGGTTCATGAATCAGCAGGAAACTTAATCAAATGACACTTATGTTTCCAACATGTTCTTGGTAGTGCCAGTTGTCTTCACAGGGCCATGTTTTTTGTGTTCTACCTCCTTCCAGCTTGTTTTGCCTCTGAACGAAGTCTGGCTGTATTTGTAAATAAACAGCATTATGTGGGCCAAAAGGGAAATGTCCACTACACCAAAGAGCACAGATGACACCGAGGTCTAGAGTAAAAAAGGAAGACCTTACATTGTTGCCTAAAAGAAAATCAAATTATGGCAGCTAAGCATTTGCAACGTTGGAAAAACCTCAGGACAGATTTGTGTAGGAATGTTTTCAGACTATAGCTGCACCCATAAACATTGATGACAGTTCTAAAAATAAAGGTTGCAGCTGAGACTGAGCTGAAAGCTGGGAGAAAGCCCTTGTTATTTTAGAAAATGGAAGATGTTTGAAGTAATTTATCCCAGTGCATAAGCTGGAAATCTGGAGGCATCACATCCACTCTGGGGGGAGAGGGAACCTTTCCTTAAAAAAAGAAATAATTTCTTGGACAAAATGTTCATAACCAATATGTCTTAAGGTTTTGCCAGGGTTAAATGATGGTACTTAAGCTCTTTGTCCTACTGCTTTAGGCAAGAGTAAAGCAGAATTCATATTTATTCCAAATAATTTCACAAACCAAAGTGCACAGGGGCAGGGACACAGAACAGTGCACAGAGCTCGTGTTTAACAAAGTTTTCATGTCAAAGTAGCCAGAACAGGTGACTAAAAAGTAAAATCCTGACTCGTTTTCTACAATTTTATTCAGCAAGCTCAGTTCTAGAAGGAGAAGAAAGTGCAACGATTGATTTCAGAGACAGAAATGACACGGAATTTGATGCCTTGCCAACCCTGGTGAGTAGAAAATGCCAAGTAAAGGTTCCTTTCTGGTACCTGCCTGTTCACTGCCACTCACTGCCCCTTCCAGTTCAGTGTCTCTCACTCAGCTTCAGTGAAACCGAACTGACAAATCACTGGAAAAAAACCAAAACCACAAAACACTGAAAAAAGGCAGGGCCGCAATATTCTGCAGTCTCCTTTTGCAGTCCTGCTGAGAGGTCACCTCGTGTAGAAAAGCCTCCAGCTGGGAAAATCAATCAGCTCATTTGGTTTGTTTTGGTCACTGTACAGGAGTCAGAGGTGATGGGTGACAGCTAAAAAAGCACCCAGGAGATGTGGGTGAGCAGGGAATTTAAATGCTACCTTCGTACATGTAGACTGAGTGTACTGAGGTTTTCTTTTCCCTCTTTTCCCCCCAATTCTTGTAGTTGCCCACCAGACTACACAATGTAACAAATCTCTTGCAGTTTGGACACCTGATGACCACAGAAAGTGCTTTTGTCCCGGATGGAGACAGTGACAATTCTACTGGTTATGGAGTTAACACAGAGAGTGTTGATGGTAAAAAACCTCTTCATTTCTGTTTTTCTACATCAAAGTTCTACTGCCATCTACTAAGTAATATCTGGAAAATTCCAATACCAAGTTTAAGGTGTTCTCTTTATAAATAGACACAGAATAGTTCAGCAAATACACTCAGAGCAAGGTGAAATTTTATCAGCATACGCCAGTCTCAGACAATTAAAATCTGATTTCTGTCTTAATCATAATTATTTCATACCAGGTATAAACACCTTATTGATCTTAATGTGATCACACAAGTTTCACTAGTATATATCAGATAACTCAGTCCCCTAGGTTTTAATTTCTATTACTTAGGAGTTTTTTGTATTCACTCTCCCAGACTTTTAATTTGCTCCCTTCCTACCAAAAGGACAACCTCAAACCATTGTGACATAGTTGATAAAAGTTTTCCTGCATATAGCATTACAAATTGAACTGAAAAACTCTGTACAAAGCAGAGTGAGTAATTATTGTCCTTCTGGCTTTACAGGTGAGCCGAGTGGGGAACCAGAGAAAACTGAAAAAGGTATTAAACAGAAGATTTGCTTCAAAAGACAAGGGGGGACAAAATTGCCAGGGAATCCCCTTCCAGCAGCCACTGGCTGTGCCCAATCTGTCCCTGAACTGCCTCCCCTGGTTCACCTGATCGCTGTCTCCATGTCCACACCCTTATGGAGCCCTCCAGCCCAAGGGCACATTTTCAGGTTGCTGAACTTCCCAAACCTCCAGCCCAAGGGCATATTTTCAGGTTGCTGAACTTCCCAAATCTCCAGCCCAAGGGCATATTTTCAGTCTGCTGAACTTCCCAAACCTACTTGAGAACTCACAAGACAGAAGGGAATTTCCCTGAGGAGTGGGATGCAGCAGAACAGCATCAGTGCTGTATCAGTCCCTCTTACCAATGGTTTCCATGAGAAACACACTGACATTCCCAACTTCTTCTTTCAGGTGGCCTGGAAACAATTGCACTGGTTGGAATAATCATTGGAATCGTGGTTGCAGTTGGAATCCTTGCAGGAATAGTGATTGCTGTCGTAAGGAAGATGTCAGGCAGGTACTCGTAAGTAAATTGCTAATCAGGCTTTTCCAACAAGCCCCATCCTCTGAGCAGGGCCACAGGAATCACCTGGGAAATGTCTGGTGTTCCTATTTTGACTAAACAATCTACTTTGACTAAACAATCTATTTTGATGTTACACATTGCATCAAAATCAGCAAGAGCTGCATCACAACGTGGGGGGTCTAAACCCCCAGAAATCAGAAAAAAATTGCCAGATATTGTTATAATATCAAGTGCATGGGGTTTGGAATTACTCTTCTGCACAGAGGTAAAATTATCCAGGAATTATGAGAGGACCAAATCCTACAAGTACTGGAAAGCAGCTGAAGATTGGGAATGATCTCTGCCTTATTCTTTGGTGCCATGCAAATCTGAAGGTCTTTACAAACTCCAAAGGACTAAGAAAACCCCAGGACATTTAAACAGAGCCTGTTCACCAGAATTAGGAGAAAGGAAAACAGGAACTGGGAAGAGAAATAAAGTGGTGATAGGAAAGATAGAGAGGGAGGAAAAGAGATCAGGTATCTAACATTTGGATAAGGATGAGCAATAAATGTCTGCTTGTTGTTTTCCAGGCCCTGAAAACAGTTGAAACAAGCAGCCACGTCATTCCATGCCAGAAAATACAAGTGCTTCTTATTTTATAAGAACTAAAGACTATTCCTGCAGTTGTGTGAGAAGATGATCCATGGAAAATACAGTCAAAGCCTTCCAGATCTATGGGGATCCCACACAGCTCTAAGGACCACCCCCACTCTGCCTGATTCCAGAGTATGGAACATTCCATAGCATTTCTACTATCCAGGATTTTACCAGAAGAAAAAAGATTTTGCAGTAAGAAAAAACCCTGCAGCAAACAGATGTGCACCTGAAATGTGATTTACAGGTAATATATGCTTGGGTTTTAAATGCAACCAAAGATTATGTCACATTACATTTTATGGATTTCTTTAAAAAAAAAAAAAACATATCCAGAACATATTCAGAATCTTTTAAGTGTTTTTGACTGGTTAAGTGCTTGTGGCTTGTTCATCTACCACGTGATGTATCATAAAGGAGGAATTAGCTTCAGAGCGAACCAGTTATTTACAAATTAAATATCCAAAAAATACAGGATATTGGAAGCTAAAATCTTTCCACTATTGATACAGATTTTCTGCTCATGATACTTATGTTATTCTGTGGCAAAATAGGGTAGGCCTGGCTGGAACTGACCTACCAACTGAAAGCTTGCTCTGCTGACTATTGCATCAGGAATTTCCTGCCTTCTCTTCTTGCAGAGACATGCAGGGATTGAAATAAACATCCTGAATTAAGGGGTGCTTGGAAAATACCCACTTTTGATGGGTCACTTTAACCAGTTACTCAGCAGCTTCAGAAGCTTTTGAATCAGTGTATACAAACTTTTTCTTTCTGAGTGTCTCGTTTTCTAAGTTGGTTTGTTTGACAACATGTGCAACACCAGGTCAGAGTGTGGCACTGAGGTATAATGCAGCTTTTCTGGGGCATTTTTAGTGCTGCAGGACCTGAATGCACAGAGCTCAGAGCAAAGGCTTTGCATGTCCAGTGGCTGCAGTGCATCAGATTTTCTAAATCAGTGTTGGGTGTAAAAATCACGACAATCCATGAGGTCGATGATTGCTGAACGTGTCGACTCCTCTGTATTTGCTTTTCTGTTTCTTTTGTGTGCCATGAACTATCATATCAATCCAAGCTTTGGAAATAAAAATCATAATATAAATTGTCCTACTTTACAGTAATTATTCTTTGTTTTCTTTAAAAAAATTAAAATATTTTAAACTTCCTTCAATTTTCCTGACTTGTTTTGCTACTTGTCTTATCAGTGCAATGCCCACAATCAATTCATTTGACAATGCTAAATGAAACTATAATTCAAAGCTAAAGATATGAGAAAAAGTAATTCAGGAGTGTTTAGTTAGTTTTTGAGTTGATGTAGGGAAGAACTCAGTCTGTGACCATGAATAATAAGCTTTATCTTCATGTAAAGTCATATGGAAGCAGGAATATTAAAGCTTCTTCTTGTGGCAAAAAATTAGTAATTTCTGTTAGTTTGGATTTAACAATTTCTTGTCTGTACTGGAAACTGTCCCATAAGATGCATTAATGCCTTCCCAAATGCTTGGCATATGGAATTATGAATTATTCACCCATTGTAGGGAATAGCACAGATGTCACTGGTTTCTTCTGCAGCAGCTCAGTCCCTGCTAACTTGCAAATACCACAAAATCAGAAAAACATTCTTATGCCAGCTCTGAATTTTGGTTAAGCCTGAAGGAACAAGAGAAATTTGAGAAATGTGTGGCACTGGAGCAGACAACCCTTGTGGGCAGTTCTGAGTTTTCCTGGATCATGGGCAGAGCACCAGCTGAAATTCTGCTCGAGGACACTTTGCTTTGCTCCCCCACCAGAATCTCTCACTAAAAGCCATTTTAACTTCATATACCAGCTACCTAAATTTTCTGGTCCTAACTGTGCCTTTATAGTCCACCCTCTAGTTTAAGGGAAGTTTTATTAATCTTAGGTAAAAATCAACCCCTAGCCACACAGCCCATGCTCCTCTGAAACATTAGCTGTGGGCTTCCAGCCCTGGAGACTGAGTATGAAGTGTTGTGCTGGGCTAAATCTGAACCTGCAAAGACGTGACAGCAATTTCCTTCTGATGATCAGCTGGAGTGCAGGACACTCAGTACATGGTAGAGGAAGCAAGGGTTCTGAAAAATCAGGAGACATCTATTATTCTGAAAACTTGAAGAAACAGCAACTGCTGCTACAAAGATACATTTGATATTCTGATGATTCATACACCTTGCTGCCTGGAAATCTCGAGTGTAGAACATTCCAGTCAGCTTCAAGCAAACCTCAAGAAACCATGGCTTGTTCATTACAATCTTGTCCATATTTGGTTTGTATCTATATGTTACTGAATCTTTAATTTAATTAATCTGTAATTCCGTGATACAAATGTCCTGGAAATGCAGACTAAAAATCCACACAGAGCTCTGTGTTTCATATGAAACTCCTGCAGTGTTCTGTGACTGAGCTGTCCTTGCCTTAAAATCCAGCTAGTTTAGGACTTCAAACGTAGATTGAACACAACCTATGTGGTTTTTGGTAGAATTTCTGTGGAAGGTGGGATCTTTTCTGCTTTGTGAGAAGTCAGACAGCACATTGTCCCAGGGCAAAATCTCCTGTGAGCTCAAATGAGTGATCAGCTGCAGAACCAAGGCCCAAGGTCAGGAGACTTCCTATGCATGAGAACACATGAGGAAACAGCAGCTCCATACTTTGACCAGCTGGCCAAGTTTGACTTTTATTCACAGGGAACGACACTCAATAAATCAACACTTGCTTTTAACTTCAAGTCCTCACTCCTGATCACATTCATTCCTTTATAGTTACTAACAATAACGTTCCCTTTTGCAGCTTGGCTTTGAGTCATGAATGTGGCTCTCCCAAACAGACAAGCAGGCACCAGGCTTCCTGTGAGAGTGCCAGATGTCACTAAAAAATATCATAAACAGAGCTGTCCCCTTGCATTTGTGTCTGTGGGGAAGATACACAGCAGTCATAACTATGAAAGCAAGCTGAGCCATCAATATTTATAATAGTTCTGGACATCGATACAGCAGTTCTTACATGAGTTCATTTAAGGCATGTTTGTACTGTAAGAACAGAAAATGTCAAAAGAATGAATTCAATAAAACCAATGATAATTAAGTTTGCACTGGAAGAATTATGGAGATCAACTTACTCCTATAAATTTAAGAAGTGTTCATTTGTAGTTAAACACCAATTAAAACATGCAGCTCACTATTTTAGGAGCACTGCAGAATACCATTGCAAATACCTTAACCACGTCTTATTTCATTAAAAAATAAGTACAACCTGCAGATTAACACCTCTGTCAGGGTTTCAAACTCAAATGTACCGAAGTATCATTCACATGAGAATGGCAAGTTCTGCCTTGATACTCAGATTAAGTGACTTGCCAAGGGTTATAACGCAGGTAAGGGAAAAGCCACCAACCCAGGAATCTTTAAACATTAAAGCATTAGTCCTGTCACAGCTTCTGACCAGTTCAAATGAAGTGGTGTTCAGCATCTTTTATGGTAACATCATCCTTAATATTATTTAGTATAAGATAGGAACAAAGGACACTGCAAAAAAGCAACTTATTGAATGTACAAGGCCCCTCAGGTCACAAGTATGCTCGGGTTGCTTTTGATGAAGAACCATTCCAGCTAAAAATAATTTCTGCTCCACCAGCCTAAGTTTTGCAGTGTAGATGTTACTGAACCACTGCAATTTAAAACTTAAATCATAACTGGCCTACACCACGTCTGAAGACATTGTTATACCTTTTTATACTCCACCAGATGAGGTATCAGAATATCCCTACCCCTCCTTTTGCAGGCAGCTTTTTTAAGCTCAAAGATTACTCCCACTGAAATTCCCAGCATTTTGTTTTGTTTGACAACTTCTGATGGACGCAGAAGGTAACAGAGGATCTGCAACTTGACACCAGGTGCCAAAAGCAGGAGGCTGAATTAGTGCTTTGTCCATTTTTTTACAGCTGCAGCGTGGAGGCATTTATGTATAAATAAACTGAGCATCTCACTGGCCATGTGTCTTTGTCCAGGCCTTGTGGATTTAGGCTTCAGACCAAACCCACAGGTCCCCCTGCTCTGCAACAAACAGTTGAACTCCAACACAAAGATCCCCATTCAATCATGGAGTTTGTTCAACTCCAGGCTGGAGAAGTCAGATTTTCAGACTCTGGTAAATGTTAAACTGGCAAATGTCTCAGCAGGCAAGGAGAGCTGCACATTCCAGGCATATCCAAAGTTGTGCTCTGGTTCCAGAAAGCAGCTGGCAGGGCTGATTGATACTGGTGAGTTCAAAACCAAACAGTGCCATCCAGGAAAAAAAAAAGAAAAAAAAGGAAATGGAAGAAGGAGAAATAGAGAACTGCAACACATTGTCTTCACTAAAATTTCATTTCATTCACATTTCCAGATTGAGCTAAAATTGAACAATGGATTTGCCAACCTGGGGGGCTACTTCAGGTGTTAACCAACATCAGTGTTCAGATAAACTTGGGGAAGAAATTCTTACAAATGTTACAACCTTATCTTCCAGTAGAAAAGGCAGTAAAAGTGACACATAAGAGTGATGCTGATGCAACACAGCAACAATTCCACCAACATCCAGGGAAAAACAGAAGCTCCCACTGTTTTTAAAGGGGAAAAACAGTAGAAAGAACCAGTTCTATCCTTTGGAGAACCCCTCTTACTTCTTCCTCCAGTGCAGAACATGAAGCTACTGATGCTTTAAGAATATAGATTTGTCTCTATTCCATAAACCCTTTAACTAATTTTTCCTGATGGTAATAACTTCACAGCAATACTGACCAGCAAAAATGACTGGCAACTGAGTTATTTAATAAGTCATTGACTTGTTTAAACACTTCCTCCTTCCCTCCAGAGTGACTAAACATTTTCTAACAAGGCAATTTTAAATGTAGTGGTGTTTGTCTTAGGAAATTAGTACTGTATGTCTCATTTGAGCTGGGAAGCAACTCCATTTCCTGCTTTTATGAAGCATGTTAATCCTCAAATAACACATTCCTTTGAGTCCTGTGGATATTCTGCCTCATGACATTTGATTCATCCTATGCAGGAAACAGGGAAGGAATTAGCAGGTTCAGCAGGTGTGCTCATGGGAAAAGAGAGAGGAATGTCAGCTCTTCCTCATTTCCTATCTGCTGGAGGAAGAAACCCCAGAGGAGTTGAATAAGCAGCAATAACTGAGCATAGTGGAGGAAATAGCAGCTTCCTCCTTGAAGGAATGTCCTCTCCTGTACCAGGCACTGAGGCATTTTGCTGAGAAATAAGGGACAGCCAGAACTGTCAGTGTTTCCCTGCCTAGACCCCTACAAACTGTTTAGAGAAAGAGAATTGAGAGAAGTCCACTTTTCACAACTCACACAGAGCTTTAGAAAGTAGTGGTACAAGAGATTCTGACCTAAAAGCCAGCCCTTAAAGGCAAGTTGTACATAAAAAGATAATGCAGCAAAGGCTGCCTGTTAAAAAGTAGTGAAAGCATTTACTTGGTATAAGTTGCTGCATAAAGTTTCCTCTGTGATCCAGCCTGGAATTACCCTGGGCCAACTACTCCTGGCACTAAGATCTGTCTCTTTGTAAGAGACAAAATATTAATGAGATTATGAAAGCATAGATTACTATTAATCACCTCTCACAGGGAGGCAAACTCTGCCATCTGTTCATTTAAACCTGGAATTGCTGAAGTTAAGAAATGTTTAACTCATGATTATGAAGCTACTCCTTGAAAACAGTTTCCCTGATGAGTTCTTCCACCTCATTTTGTCAAGATTAATAATTAGCTTACTAACACAATAAACATGCTTGATTGAGTGGAAAGTAGCAACAGAAGGATCTGAGAAGGTAAAGCATGTCTGCATTTCATGGAGAAAACTGAGCAAGGGCCACAAGAGTGACTTGAGACTTCATACACCTGGCAAGAAGGAATGTATAAAGAATGTACAAGCAGACTACTAAAATTAAAGGCTCCTCAGTGCAGGCTGATGCAGATGCACAATGACTGCTCTCTCAGTAAGCTGTACCCGAGCCCCAGCTAGTGGTGGGATTTACTGATGGCATTTTTACAGCAAAAAGGAACACATTCATAACAGAGAAGCTTCAGATTATTGTACATTATCTCGTAGCCATTGAGCCTGGTTTTATTTTCAAAATGCTTCCAACAAAACCAAAGTTACATGTTGGTTACTCATAGTGTGCCTACACCATCCACAGAGCACCTCAGTGGTTCTGATTGATCCAGCAGCTGGGAGCTGGAAGCAGGAATGCAGACAATGGATGCTGTCTCCATTCTCAGGGCTGTTCCATCCTCTGAGCCAGCTTGTCACGACACAAGTGGTAGATAACCAAAACAAGGGTTGAACATTATTCTTACCTGCTTTTCCTTCCATGGAGTACTGCCAACATCTTCTCTCAATATAAATATTAAGTAAATTTAAGTATATTTAAGTATATTTAGGTATATTTCTTGATTAATTCCACTAAGAAACTCATGGCCATCCATGTCCTGGGGTGAGTCCTGTGGTGCTTGAATCAGTTTGCAGAGGCAGTCCCAAAACACCTGCTGTAGTTTGAAATGGAGGCTGACCAATGTAACTGATAAATTTAAATTTAAATGGACCTTATCTTTATCCCTTTACCACCATTGGTGTAATTGGCACAGATGAATCTTAGCTAATTAGTGTGAGCAGTGCTCTGGAAATGGCTGCTAAATCCATCTTAGTACAGCTGCCCCATCCCTGGAAGTGTTCAAGGCCAGGTTGGATGGGGCTTGGAGCAACCTGGGCTAGTGGGAGGTGTCCCTAACCATGACAGGGGTGGAATCAGATGGGCTCCAAGGTCCCTTCCAGCTCAAACCATTCCAGGATTCTGTGAGGTCCCACATAACTTACCTGCTGGACTGCAGACCTCAGCAGCTGCCACGTTCTGGAGAGGGCAACGTTCAGCCTTGGCCAGAAGTAAAATGCTCTGTGAAATGGAGAAAACGAAGTGTCAGGTTCCACAGGCTGGGAGCAAGAGGCACTGAATCGACTTCACTGGTATGACACCACTCCCCTGCCCCATCAGATATCCTGGGGACCCTTCTGCTAAAGGCTGGCACATGGGAACTGGGGGAAAGCCACTTGGAAATATCTAACACTAACCAGGTATCACCTGTGATCAGTTCCATAAAGTGGCCTGAAAAGGGACCTCTCCAGAGCAGAAAAGCAGCACTTGTGGTTCAGCAACTTGTGGTTGTATATTTGTGCAATATAATAGGTGAGCAAGCAACACAGACTAGAGTGACAAGCAAACCATGAGACATTTGAGTAGTGTAAAAGGTTGGACGTTGTTTTATTCTGTGAAAAATTAGATTTTTATAATGAAACCTGCTACTGGTGCAAAAGTGAGCCAGGCTGTAGAAAGCAGAAATAAAAATAAGGGCTGTGGTGGACCTGGAGGTTGGAAAGGTTCACCTAAACCAGCAGGGAAGGAGCAGGAATACTTAACAACTGAGTTTTAAGAGTCTCATTCCCCAGGACATTTCGAGCACAACCTCCCGAAATATCTTAGCAGTGCAGTCAATTCATCTACCAAAAATACACTTATAGAAAAAGAAGGTAATATTACTTAAACTCAGAGCTATTAATAACCAGTAACCCAAGCAGTTCAACTGTATCAGTTTTTCCCAGGGACATTATTAGTGAGAGCCATAACATGCAGCACATTGTCTCCTGTGTTTGTAGGGACAACTAGAACAGCACAGAAAGTTGTGATAAAAGAGACCTTGTCCCAGTTAACAAGAGAAGAACTGGCCCTACTGGCATCACTGGAGTCCAGCTAGTTTCAATGCTGCTTTAGACCCTCTGATAAGAAAAATCTTTTCTAGAACTATTTTTTCCTGCCATGGCTCACTAAGATTTCCACACACAAGAATTTCCTTTTCTCTCTCTCTTTTAAGTCACCCTGAATATATATATATATATATTCAGTCACACATTCAAGATTTACAAAAGAGCTTTTGCTAGTATTTGTTTCTTCTGTGTGCTGGTATCATGTTATCATGTCCCTGTGTGCTTACACACACCCAGGTAACCTGAAGAACTAATTCATCATTTTAGAGAGCACAATAGCAGCAATACTGATATTTTCAGAATACAACAAATTAACGGTTCGGAACTTCAATCACCTAAAGATTTGTAGGCCTCTCTGACCACCAGAAAGTGTAAATTGAAAGTGCAAGTCCCCTGGAACGCCACCAGATGGTAGATATTCTCAATGTAAATGCAGGGAAAAAAAGATGACTGTTATTTGTGTTATTTTCTGTTATTTGTGATACTTCTGGGAAACTTTATATATAATCCTGAAGGTAGAAAGGTTTATACTTTAGCTAATAAGGTATGTAGTTTGTTCTATGTTTTCAACTTCCCTGTTACACAGGCTCTAACATCTAAAATGGAAGACTTGATTTTTTTTTAAAATACAACATCAAAACTTAGAGGTGTAATTACTTTAGCTTAATTATAAAGCTTAATGTTAATACAAGTAAATTAGAATTCATTTAAGCTAATAAGTTAAATTAGTTTAAACATATTTGAGATTTTCTTACTACTAAAATTATAGATTTCAGAACTGATTATGGTGTATCTAAAACAACATTTTATAATATAAGTGCATCCTGAGTATTCTGGTGGGAACATCAGTGTGTTCATCAGAGTTATTTCTCAGTCTGCTGTTGCTTACCAAAGTTAAGCATCACTACAGAGGTGTTCAAATCCACTGTATTAATGTCTTCCATTTTCTACAGGTTTAATTTAGCATGTTTTCCTCTAGGAAAATGGCAAATTCTTAATAATTCCAGGTCAAATATAGTCCTACCCCGTGAGGATTACATCTCTGATTGCATTAAGAATAGAGTATTCAGGTGAGATAGAAATTAAGGGGAGAGAGACTGCAATACAAATACAGACATCTGCCAGGAGCTGATTATGGATATTTTTTTTATCTCTCAGGTACTTGCTTAGAAATTAGTGAGGAAAATTTGGTTTAGATGGGAGAGGACAATGTATGTGGAGCATAAAAGGGTCCCAGCCCAGGCCCCTCAGGGGGTGTGAGGGTCAGTCCCCACATCACTTCAGTGACTAAAATAATTTCCCCTCAGCCACTTTGTTGGGTTTATTTTTTTGTTCTCAGTCACACACAAGAAAACCACCGAGCTGCTGAGCTGCTTTAGTATGAGAAGGCAAAAAACAGACCAAAAAAAAGAGAAATAAAAGCAATAGGAAAAGTGAACCTGCTCTCCTCGTTGTCTGGGAGATGGTGATGGCCGGGGCAGGAGGGGTGAACTGGGCAGGGCCCAGGGGGATGCTGGGGGTGAAGAGGATGAAGGGGGTGAAAGGGCTAAAGGAGGTGGATGGGATGAAGAGGATGAGGGAGGTGAAGGGGGTGTAATGGATGAAGGAGGTGAAGGGGATGCAGGGCGTGCTGGGGGTTAAGGGGATGGAAGGGGGTGAAGGCGATGAAGAGGATGTTGGGGCTGAAGGGGGTGTTGGGGATGGAAGGCATGGAGGGGGCACGGGGGGTGAAGGGAATGGAAGGGGGTGAAGGGAATGAAGGTGGTGTTGGGAATGAAGGTGTTGAAGGGGCTGAAGGGGGTGTTGGAGATGATGGGGATGTTGGGCATGAAAGCGAGGAGGGGAGTGTTGGGGATGAAGGGGGTGCTGCGGGTGAAGGGAATGGAAGGAGGTGAAGGTGATGAAGGGGGTGTTGGGGATGAAGGGGATGCTGAGGGTGAAGAGACTGAAGAAGATGAAGGGGGTGTGGGGAGGATGCTGAGGATAAAGAGGAGGAAGGGGCTGTTGGGGATGAAGGGGGTGTTGGTAATGAAGGGGATGAAGGGGATGCCGAGGGTGAAGGAGATGCTGAGGATGAAGAAGATGAAGAGAATGAGGGGGATGAAGAGGATGGAGGGGGATGAAGAGGATGAAGGCGATGCAAAGGATGAAGAGACTGAAGGGGGTGTTAGAGATGTAGGCGATGCTGACGGTGAAGAGGACGAAGGGGATGAAGAGGACGAAGGGGATGCAGAGGATGAAGGGGATGCAGAGAACGAAGGGGATGAAGAGGACGAAGGGGATGAAGAGAACGAAGGGGATGCAGAGGATGAAGGGGATGAAGAGGACGAAGGGGATGCAGAGAACGAAGGGGTGTCGGGGGGGTCCCGCGCCGGGACCTGCCCGCGGCCTCCCCCCAACGTCACTTCCGAGGCTGGAGACAAAATGGCGCCCGGACGGTGCCGGCGCTGAGGCCGCTCCGCGCCGCTCCCGGCGGGGCCGCAGGTGAGCGGGAGGCGGCGGCGGGACCCGCCGGGGCTGAGCCGGGCCGGGCCGCGCCGGGCCGGGCGGACGGGCGGGGGCAGAGCCGGGGGCGCGGTCCGGAGCGGCCCCGGCAGAACCGCCCGCCCCGGGGGTCCGCAGGGAGGTGGCGGCCGGGGCGAGGCAGCGCGGCAGGTGCGGGGAGCGGTGCGGGACCTGTGCCCGGAGGGAGCGCCCTGGGGAGGGAGAGGAGGGCGGGGGATGGCGGGAGAGGCCGCTCGGGTGAAGATGCTCGGTCCCCTTGGCGGCTCTTTCAGCGTTTTTGCGCTGCAGGCGCTGGCTCGGGGGTGTCGCTCCAGCCCGATGCTGAGGGAGCGGTGCTCTTCCAAACACTTCCTAACGCACCGTCTCCAAAAGTTCCGGCGCTTCACGGGCCCCGAGGCTCCCGCAGGGTCAAGTCCTGCCAAACCGAGCGAGCGGACCTTGGGGAAATTAACTCCAGAATTGGTTTTCCTCGCTGGAAATGCCCTTCCGTTAATTCTCCTAAATTGGAGATATTCACATATCATAATTCATGATGGTGCAGTGGTACCACGGGGAAGAACGTTTGGGGTGAGAGCAAAGATGTTCTTGTGAGACATGTGGGGCAGCTCTAGAGATGTATCTTCGGTACATTTTTAATCCGGAGCCAGGGCAGCGTGTGGAGATCGCTGATAACCATCTCATGGCAGGCACCTGGAGCCTCCAGTGAAGTTTCCAGTGGTTTCAAATTCATATGGAGCTGCAAATTTTCCATTTTGAAGCAGTAAAGGAAACTTTAAATTGTTTTCAGCTGTTGAAGGAGGAAGGGAAGGTGGTGTGGCTGCACCTGCTAAATCATTCAGTGGCAAGAGAAGTATTTTTATTTTACATTTGAGCAGCAGTGGACAGCTCTTGCAGCAGCAGGGGTTGCTTGTGCTTGTGATGCTGCCCCAGTTTGCTGTGTCCAATCTGTGCTCTGAACTGGGGACGTGTTATTTGCATGCAAAGTCTTTTTTGGCTTACTCAGACATACTGAGTGGATTAAGGGAACTGGAGATGTACAGCAGCGTGGTATTTAATTATTATATTGTTCTCTTCTGGCACTTGCCAGGTTTCAGTAAAAACGATGGGCATGTTAAGAATTCAGGGCTGCTTTCCTTGGTGTAGACAGAGGGATCTCCAGCTGTTCCAGCTGTGGAAAGGCACGATGGTGAATCAGTGATAGCACTTTTCAGACAGAGACCTGCATCACTGATCCATGGGGGAGTGACTTTTAGGAAACAAAAGAACTCCTGGACTTGCAGACACAGCAGTGGGAGCCGTGCAGAAGCACCTGTTGGTTTTCAAGCCTGGAGCTCCCAGGGTTTGCTGGGGCTGAAGTGCCTCAACCGTCCACGGCACAGATCATAAAAATGAATTTCACTTACAGTGAACCCCTCGTTATGTTAAATGAAAGACAAATCATCCCTTTGGATAAAATATCTTAGGTAGGAATGCCATGATGAGTGTGATGTTTGGAGATTTCCCGAGTTGGTGCCTGTTTAGTGTGGTTTCAGCCTTCCTTCTGGGCAGGCTGGAAGGTGGGGAAGGATATTGAAGTACTTCTCCACACTTGTATAACCCATCCTTTTTTTTCCCTATTGCATATTTGCTTGAGAGTGGAAGGGAAATAAAGCAGAAAGTCTTTTTCTGTAAAAGCTGAAATGGCTCTGGAGGTCCATCCTGCAGTGCAGTGATGTCCCCATTTCACTGTTATACATAAAATCCTTGATCCTTGGGGGTAAACAAGTAATAGTAGTGTATAAAAAGGAGATCTGAATAATGCTTCTTACTGGGTGTCTGTCAGTTAAAAACAGAAGTTCAGAGAGATTTAGAGATGAACAGTAATGTATTCCTGCCTTGGCAAACCTTTAATTTAAAGCACTGCAATGTATTTGCTGTTGAACTTGTTAGCACGGAAAGGACAGAGATGAGCCTGATAATTAATGACTCCCCCTCAACGAAATAATTTCTTGTATCAATGTGTTTTTTTCTCCAGTTGTATTTTTAGCTGAAAAATATTTCTTCTCTGCCTCTGTGTAAAACATGCCTGTAGACAAAACTGGGAGGCTGAGCCGTGTGTGGTGAAAAGAAATGACTGAAATGGGTTTTTTCACATCGTGGTCCATCAGCAATGTACTTGTCTGAGAGCATTTTCATTGGGTTTTACTCCGTTTGCAAGTAGAATTAAAGTGCACTTGTATCTGAAGATTGGAATGGTGTTTCTGTATATTTGCAGTTGTTAGAGACCTGTTATTTTCTGTTGACTTCTCTTGACTAGTTGCTGTTTAATTAATAAACTCTTGGGTTTGTGTTGTGTTGGTGATTTCTTGGCTCGTTTTCTTGGTTACCTCCATAAACCTCTCCAAGTTATAACAGTGTATTTGGTTATGTGGCAGCAAGCAAAGGCTTTTTTCTTACTGGACAATAGGTAATAGATCTCAGTGCTCAGAAAATCACTGCCCATTGTTTTTTTTTCTCTGTTCTTATTCAGGCAGCCTTGAGTAACTGAAAATGTCTTTGCAGCAAAGTGCCTGTGGAGAGAAACAAGATGCACTACCAAATACATATTTTAATCTTAGTGTGAACTTAATTTTTTTTAATTGACAACCTTTGTTTCACCTAACAGATGGGAAATTCGTGGATTAGGGTATTTAAGTGTTGCCCTGAATAAGTGGAAATGTCCTGATGTTTAGAAAATGGTCATGGGCTGCAACTAGAAACTAAAGCAAAGGCAAGAGCTGTGCAGAATCCCAGCCTGAACCCTGGTCATTAGGAAAACAGGCTGGGGAGACTCTCAAGTTGTTCCTGGTTCTCTAATGAACATGTTTTTACTGGAGCAGTGACGTAATGCATGTCCCATTTTCAGCTTCCAAAATAGGGTTGATTCTCTCATGCCTGGTTTTTCCTTCCTCTGAACTGGAAGCAACAGCCTCTTTCAGAATGCTTTTTGATTCTGGGATTTAAAAAAACCCAAACACAGAGAGAAATGATAAATATGGCTTATAAAATCAGAAGATAGACTCTAAAACCTAGAAGCACTGATTTAGCTTGAATGAGGTGATCTGCAATGCTTTGTGTAAAATGACTTGCTTTCATTTGCAGACTTTGTTCCCAGAAAGTTATATTTTGTTCCCAGAAAGTTATATTTTGTTCCCAGAAAGTTATATTTTGTTCCCAGAAAGTTATATTTTTTTTCTGAGGGAATATTTAAAACTCTTAAGTGTAGATTCAGAAATCAGGTCAAAATACTTTTTGTTTCAAGCATTTTGTTTTAGAGTGATCACAGCGTTTCCTTAAATACAAAAGCCTTGTGTATCCTTATCTGAATAAATATAATTTGTTTCCTGGAGCTGAGCTTTTCTGAGTACACTTTTCTGAGAGTCTAAGATTGGATGATGCAGCAGATCTCCTTTCTCGTGTGCTTCCCAGATGCTCTAATATCTGGAGTAAGTGTGTAGTATTTGTGCACTCAGGAGACACAGTAGTAGGTGATGTTTTCTGGGATGTTTAAATGTTTAAAACTCAGGGTTGCTGGTGCCTGTGCTTCACTTTTGGCACAGAACCTTTACCATTCTTTTTTGGGGGATTTGAGTGAGTTGTCCAAGTTCACTGTGGTCGATGTTATGAACAATATCCAGGTCTTTATAATCCAGCTTTATGTTGCTGTTGAGTTTGGAGGAAACATTGAATGAGAATAGTTGTTATTTGATGGAGCTGCTGAGTGAGTCTTTCAAAGTCCCGATGCAGTTGTGGAGCATTACTGCCTTCAAAACAGGCTGAATGTGGCCATCACCGAGTCCTTAAATTGAATCACAAATTCCCCCGGTGACACATCAGAGCAGCATCACTTCCACAGGGGCTTTCCTGGGAAATCTTGCCTGGGACCTGACTGTGTGTTCCAAGGAAATCATTGGAGTGTGGAGTGAAAGCTCGTTCCTGCTTGCAGTGATAAGAGTAAATACCCTGTTGGTACTCAGTGATTGTGCTGGGAATTAATATTTGTGCAGCAGTTGTACAATTTGTTTCATGTTTTCTGGGGTTTATTGAATTTGTGTACCAAAAATTAACCCCCAAATTACTGTTGCAGACGCTTCTGTTGTTGTGTCATGTTTCATTTAGGTAGAAAAAACCCCAGTGGCTGCACACAAGTCCATATAGAGTCTTAATTTTATTGATTTCCCATTGCAGTTAATCTTGCTTTCCACATAGTTTAGTTCATTGTTAACAGAATAAGGAACGTGGAGGAAGGAGAAAGTGCAGAAAAATGCAGAACTGCAGGTGTAAAATTTTGAAACTAATAGCTTTGGGTTTAGTGCAGCTTAATTTCTCACTAATTGTGGTTTGAGGGCAGGTGGTTCCTCTGGTACCTTGTAGCTGAAGGAACAGAGAAGTGCAGTTTGTGAGGGATCTGCCTAAACTGTGTTATACCTGGATGTTTAACTACATTAATGTGTTTTATCATCTTCTAAGAAACACCACTGGGGGGTTTGGAAACAACCAGCTGTATAAAAGCTGAATAAAATATTTGTAAAACTTTGTAAAAATACCAAGCTTGTTTTTTGGTTTGAAAATTCTTTGTAAGCTATTAATTCTAAGCAAAATAATTCAGAGCTAGCATATGAAATACAAGAAAAACGTGTTTTTTACAGCTCCAATAAAACAGAGTCAAAAGGTTTTGTTCTGTTGTTCAAATTTTTAACTGATTTATTTAACAGCTGAGGTAAGAAAGCTCTGCTACCCAAAATATTTAATTTATAAATTGACATGTGGGTATGGTCCCAGCTGGCAGTGAATAAGGGCACTGGGTTTTTCTCTGGTGTCGAGGCCTCAGCTCAAGTACAGACTTTTATACTGAGTCCAGTAGTGAAATAAGTCAGGAAGTTGTAATAGCACATTCCAAAAGAAATGATTTTCTTTGGATGTGTTCAGGTGTTCACATGGAGCTCCTGATATCCCATCCCTGGGCTTTGCTGGCAAACTCTAAATCCCACAGAACCAGTTGCAAAACTGGACCTTAAATACAGAAGTTTCAGCCCTTTGCCTAAATGCTCACAAAGTGTGGAAATCCCAGGACAGAAGGAGCTGATCCTGGAAGAGCTGAATACAACAGAAATATCCTTTCCAAGGACATTTTTCCTTTTCATATGGATTTCTTAAGCAATGCAGCATTTGAGTGATGCTTGGCACAGGGGATGGTACACAGCATTAATTTTTTCAGTGTGAAGATGGGAAGGATTATGTGAAATGTGTTTGGAGTATATTTTACTAGAATGTATTTTAAATTAAGCGTTAGTATTTATGCAGAGGACTTAGTAAAAAAAAAAAATCAGTTAATCATTGTTATAATAAGAAACCTAAAGACAGGGAAGAAATAGAATAAAGAGCTCTGAGTCAAGAGGGATCAGTTAACTTCCAAAGAAGGGGGATGCTAATTTATTGAAAATAATGTATGACAGCAGGAAGGAAAGTGATTCCAGCCTAATTTGCAATAAGGCTTTTTTTGTGT